TGCAGAGGATCTCTGCCACCCTTTCCCAAAGTCTTTTGGAGCAGACTTCTGCTTTTGTTCTTTGTTGTTTTGTGAGGACTAAGTATGATGCAGTGACTTGCTATGAAGAGAGAGAGGAAAATAATTATTTATAATCATAAATAATCATAAGTTTTAAAAGTATGTTATTTTCAGCAAGTGAGAGATCTCTATTTATGCTTCAAAAGTAAAGCTAGCTGAGGGCCGTGTTACCTTCTCAAGCTGCTTTTGTCTATCAACCACATAGGGACTGAGAACGAAGTGCAACTTTCTCTGTAAACCTCATCCTTCAAAAAAAAAACCCCTCAAACTCTTTCACCTTCAGGGGGAGAAAAGAGGAGGCTAAAAATCAAAATCAATGAAAAGGGGCTTTGCTGATTAAAGTGGGCAGATTATCCTTCTAGAGCCTGCCTGTTCTGAATGCACAAAGGACGCTTTGTACACCACTGGACACCACACTGTGAAAATCTAAAGAGGATCAAAGCAGAGCAACAGATATGACTGGGCTAGGTAGGGAGAGATGTAGAGGGTAAGGTAAACAGATTTAACTTTACATAAATGTAGTTACCCATAAATAGATTGAATAAGATACAGTTTGAAGAAGGGGTTATTATAATGATCTGTTGACAAATGAAAGAAAAAATAATGAAGAACGAGAGGTATAAGGATGCATAAATAGGAATTTGAATTTAAGCAAACAAAAAATGGAAATTGAGTATTACACAAAGCTTCTAAATGATGTAACTCCTTCAGACCAACATGTAGAATTTTTAGCAAAATTCAGAAGTTTAATAATACCCAGCATTATTCAAAGCCTCGAAGAGTAAAAGGTCCATATTGTCCATACTGTTAATTACGAGAAAGTGTCTGCTTCAATAAAGAGCTTTTTTTCTGTCCAAATTCTCTCTTTTCCTGTAACCTAATTCCTATGCTGGGCCTGTGGAAGATCACAGAATCACAGAATGGGTCAGATTGGAAGGGACCACAGTGGATGATCTGGTCCAACCTCCCTGCTCAAGCAGGGTCATCTCAGAGCACATTGCACAGGATTGCATTCAGATGGTTCTTGAGTATCTCCAGTGAGGGAGGCTCCACAAACTCTCTGGGCAATCTGGCCCTGTTCCTCATGTTCAGGTGAAACTTCCTGTGTTTCAGTCTCTGCCTGTTGCCTCTTCTCCTGTTGCTCAGCACCACCAAGAAAAGGCTGGATCCTTCCTCCTGACACCTTCCCTTCAAACACTTATAGACATTGATGAGGTGCCCTCTCTGTTGTCTCTGCTCAAGGATGAACAGGTCCAACTCTCTCAATCCGTGCTCATAAGAGAGATTGTCCAGGCCATTAATCATTTTTGTAACCCTCCACTGGACCCACCCCAGGAGCTTCATGTCTCTCTTGTACTGAGGAGCCCAGAACTGGACACAGCATTCCAAGTGAGAGACCTCACCAGGGCTGAGTACAGGGGCAGATCACTTCCCTTGACCTGCTGGCAATGCTCTCCCTAGTGCCCCTCAGGATACCATTGGCCTTCTTGGCTACAAGGGCACACTGGTGGTTCACGGACAGCTTGTTGTCCATCAGGACCCCCATGTCCATTTCTACAGAGCTGCTTTCCAGCAGGTCGGCCCCCAGCCTAAACAGGTGCAGGGTGTTGTTCTTCTACAGGTGCAGGACCCTGCATTTGCCTTTGTTGAATTTCAGAAGGTTCTTCTCTGCCCATCTCTCCAACCTGTCAAGGTCCTTCTGAAGAGCTGCACAGCCCTCTGGGGTATTGGCCACTTCTCACAGCTTTGTGTAATAAGCAAACTTGCTGAGGAAGCTCTCTGCTCCATCATCCATGTCATTGACGAATAATTTAAACAGTATTGGGTCAAGTATAGAACCTTGGGGGACACGAAACTTGCATGTATCTTACATGACCAGATAGTTTTCTTAAGAACTTAGGAAATAAAACTTGGGATACTTTGCTTGATGACTGTTGAGCTAACAAAATAACAGAGAAAAAAATTTTCTTTCCTCTATATTGTGTCATGAGAGAGAAATAGTGAGCTGAAAATTCAAAATATGCATCACCCTACTTATGATAACTGGAACTTTTTCAATAGCATCCTTTTGCAGTTATACGTAAAACTTAATGATACTTTTCTTGAGGACATTCAAGGAACTGATTAGCTAACATTGCAGGAAGAAACCCCTCCATTCCACTGAATACCATCATTAACCCAAGCTCAGATATACTTGGACTGAAGGACCAAGGTAGTATTTGCAATAGAGAACAGCCTCTGATTTGTCTTTTAGGAAGAAATGACAATACAAACAAGTTACATATGCTCCCAGACACCTGTTATTTTGGTGAATTCACAGGAATGTAACTCAGCTCAGCATTCAGGTTTTGGAAGAAGAGAGATTCGGATGTGTTTATCCCAACAGTAGAGTGGGTTGCACAGATCCCTGCAATGGTATTGTAGTTCTGCACAGGCTGGGACTTTTGTGTGTTAGAGCAGGTTTCTGACTGCAGAATTGGCTTTTCCAGATGGAGCAAAAACACCTTTTCATACCATGACCCTAAACCCAAGGTGCTTCATTAGATAGAAGGTCCTTTCAAGAATAGTGCAAAGTATAGTACTCTAGAGAGTGTCTATAATGGATGTCAAAGTGTCTGACAACAGTTTTTCAGCTGTAGGCTTCCTCAGCTGAAGAGAAAAATCATAGCTCTCGCTTCTCTTTCCTCCATTTGTTGGCTAATAATGTAGAGGAAGGAAAAGTCTGTAACTTGATTTTGGTCACAGTCCTCTTGCACTATTTCTTTAGTCAGCATTGAAAATATTAATTTGATTGGGTTGGATGTCACAGTGGAATGTCCCCTTGATACTGCATACCTGCCTCTTGAAATATCTGATCAAGGCGTAATATTTTACCTTTCTCTTGCTTTTGTTGAACTGCCAGGCTTTGAGGAGTTGTGGAGATTGGGAGAAGCCCTCGTCCACTAGGGCTCAGTATTAGGGCCAGTCCTGTTTAATCTTTTTATCAATGATCTGAGCAAGGAGATTTAGTGCCCTCTCAGTCAGTTTGCAGATGACACCCAATTGGGCAGAAGTGTTGATTTGCTGGGGGGTAGGAAGGCTCTGCAGAGGGATCTGGATAGGCCGGATCAATGGGCAAAGTGCTGGGTCCTGCTTTTGGATTACAACAACCACATGCGATGTTACAGGCTGGGGAAAGAGTGACTGGAAAGCTGCCTGGTGGAAAAGGATCTGAGGGTGCTGGTCAACAGCAGCTGAACGGGAGCCAGCAGTGTGCCCAGGTTGCCAAGAAGACCAATGGCATCATGGCTTGTATCAGCAATAGTGTGGCCAGCAGGGCCAGGGCAGTGGTTGTCACCCTGTACTTCAGCACTGGTGAGGCCGCACCTCAAATCCTGTGTCCAGTTCTGGGCCCCTCACTACAAGAAGGACATTGAGGTGCTGGAGCGTGTCCAGAGAAGGGCAATGAAGCTGGTGAAGGGTCTGGAACACAACTCTTAGGAGAAGTGGCTGAGGGAGCTGGGGTTGTTTAACCTGGAGAAGAGGAGGCTCAGGGCAGACCTTATCGCTCTCTACAACTACCTGAAAGGAGGTTGTAGGAACGTGGGTGTCAGTCTCTTCTCCCGAGTAACAAGTGACAGGATGAGAGGAAATGGCCTCAAGTTGCATCAGGGAAGGTTTAGATTGGATATTATGAAAAATTTAGTCACCGAAAGGGTTGTCAAGCATTGGAATGGGCTGCCCAGGGAAGTGGTGGAATCGCCATCCCTGGCAGTGTTCAAAAAACATGTAGATGTGGTGCTTAGGGACATGGTTTAATGGTGTACTTGGCAGTGTTGGGTTAATTATTGGACCTGATACTCTTAAGGGTCTTTTCCAACCTTCATGATTCTGTTATTCTAAATTGTGGCTGTCATCTGGAACAAGGTTGATTATTTGGATGAGAGCCTAATGAAGACTGAGATGTGTCCGTGGCAAAAGAACTCATGCTCTGTACCTCAGTCCTAATGCCTGTGCCCTTGTGATCCCCTCCCTGACAACTGCTTGGCTCTATTTCCACCCCTGGCTCTTTCTTCCATACTTTGCATTCTTCTGTATATAGAAGTACTGCAAAATTGCTGCTGTTCAGCTAGTCTTCTCCTTAACTCCAGTCCACAGCCTTTTGGACTATGAACATACAATCATGTAGGGCTTTTTGACATCCAGTTTCAATTCCCTTGGGATCCTATAAGCTTCCTAAGAGTCACCTCTTTTAGACTCCTTCTGCTGAACCACAGAGGCCCTTCTTGACCAGTTTTTCACAAAGCTGCTCTATAAAACAGGAATCATTTGATTGGTTTTCTTGTGTGTTTTGGATCTTCGTTCTGTGCTTCCTATAATACAGTGACCAGATTTGTACACATTATTCCAAAAGAGACCATCCAGCTGCCTTACCGAATGCCAAAGTAATAATGTCTGTGGTTTATACTCTGTAGCCTTCCATACACAACCCAAAAACCTTGTTTGCCTTTGTTACTGCTGCCAGATGTTCTGTGGATGATTTTCAAGCGTATTGTGGGGAATGTCACCATGCCAGTGAATTTCAGCAAATTTAAGCAACTTTGAAATTATTTCTTTTTCCACATGGTTATTCAAGTTGAACCAAACTGTGTTCTCACTTGAAACTGCCCTGTTTTGGTTACCCCTTTTTCATGTTGAATCACTACCTGTTACCGGTTTCTCTGCAGGAGCCTCTTCAATAGAATTTCCTCTTCATCAGGCCTCTTTTAGATTGTCTTTGCTGGAAACTCCATCTGAAGAGCCCTGCTCTTAGATTCTAGGGAGCAGTTATATTATCATCAGTACCCAGACTACTTGAATGGAGAGTAAAGGGAATATGAGGGTTTTTTCCTAGAGAGAAAGCAAGGGGAGGGAACAGCTTTTAAAAGAATTACGGTGTTCTCACCTCTCTTTTCCTGCAGATTTGCTGACGGCACAGGAATACCACTGCCTGCTGCAGCTGCTTTGCCCTGACTTCCCAATGGAACTCACTCAGAAAGCAGCAAGGTGGGTCCACATCCTCTCTTTAAAGGCAAGATTAGTCCTACACGCATGCACTAAGGAACTAGATCTGTGGGTAAAGGTATGAACAGGGACCTTCAGCTTTTAAGGTTTGGGAAGAGAGACACCCAAGAACAGGGCGTTTTTCTAGCGATGCGAAAGAGTATATATTTAAGATATGCAGAGACTGAAACATCAGACCAGAATGCTGCTGCTGGCTGTCCATGCAGATAAAAAATTGTTAACCAATATGTTTTTAACTGACATGATTTTTAAACTCTATTTCAAATGCTGTTTACCATTCTTAAAATGTGTTCCCCCTTGCCCCAGCTTCCTATGGTTGATCACATTTAAATGGCACTAACCTCTGAAGGATTGCCAGTGTTTTAAAGTACATTTGGTAAGAACATAGTAGCTAATCTGTTTGAAATTTTATTTTAATCTAGACAAGGCAAAAAGCAGATAGTTGGCTCAGGGCACTGATAATGTGATATGGAATTTTTTACTGATAGTGCTTGCTGATTCCAGTCCAGCCCAGGCAGTTGATTATTAACTATCTGATAGTGAAAATGTAATAAGGTACACGCATCTGTTGTTGGGGGGGGGTCAGTTCAGATCTCAGTAGGAGTGTGCGCACTCACACATACATATATGATCACAGCAAGGTTACTGAATAAATGCTTTCATTCTTAGCCATCTCAGCAGAGGAGGCATGGAAATTTAACTTTTGTCATGGTCCTAAATGTGACAGTTGGAAATAGAGTCCAGACACATGATCAGAATATTAGCTGCTACCTATGTTGTTCATGGCCTAAATAATGAAAAGGTCCTATTTTTCTGTTTGTCATTTTGTAACCTTTCTTTAGCATTAGAGTCCCATGAAAATTATAATAAGAAAGGAAATTGAAAAAGAGAAGTGTTATCCATCTGCTAGTGCTTCTACTTGGCTGATGTGCTGAATTCTTCCCAGGCTCCTAAGTGATGCTATCCAAACTGAACTGCAGTTTAATCTGTGTTGGTTCAATTATAACTAAAAGTTGAGAGTCACTTTTCCCTCCAGCTCATCAGTGGGCCTTTGGAGTTCAGTTGCTTGGCCCCCAATGCCAGACTAAGAAAGAATGCTAACCCTGTAGCAGAGATATATCTGCTGCTTCCTTTCATGGAGGTACACAAGCACCATTCCCATGTGCTGGTGTGTATTTCATAGGATTCCAGCTGAGCTGAGCAGGAATTTGTGATGGTGCATGCGGTGAAGGAGACTTCAGCATATCTACACATGTTCTGATGTTTGTGTCAAGGAATTTAATCCACAAGACTGTTGTAAACTAGAGGCCCCATTCAGGGGCCTGCTGCACTGTTGTGCGTGTACCATAGAGACAGACAAGCCGGCTTTGGGAGCAGGTGTTGGAGAGAAATGAGATCTCTGTCAGAGGCACCCAGGCTCAGGTGGGGATGACCTCACTCCTACTTTTGGCTGGCTAGAGATTTACTTACACATTGCTATTATTCTGTTACAATCTGTGTGAACAATTTTAATAAAACTTGTCATGTTTCTGAACCGTCTTTCTCTTTGCTTACGACTGTTGCTCATTCTCTTGTCCTTTTTCTGGTGTACATTTCCCATTGTCCTCCTTGGTCTCTGCCAGTTAGAAGAGTGAACTTTGCAGGCTGTCTTACAGCACCAGTTGATCGAGCCCTTGCAAAGCATGAGTGTCACACGCAAATCTACTGACAGTGTTCCTCCTTCAGGCTGCACACCCCCAATGGTTGTGTTGCTAATTTTCTTTGGAAAGGAATTAAACAAAGTAGCAGCGGGAGTAGTCACAGCATTCACTGATACAGCCAGGACCTGTGTAATTACTGGAGCTCTTGGGAAGAGCACAGTCGTAGTTGTAGTCTTTGTGCTGCATGACTGAGATGATCTCACAGCACGGTGCAGTCCGCTTGTCCAGGAGCTGTTGCTATGCACCGATAACAAACACTGGGACTAAGATCGGGAAATGTCAGAACATAAGAACAGAGGCTGCTACAATATAGGTTTTATTCACGTGACATCTGAGAGCTCCATTTTTCTGTTCCCGGTGCTACACAAATGCAGAAGTCATACCCAAAAAAAAGAACCGTGCTATCTGTGTCTGTGAGACTTCTTGGATGTTTTTTTTCTTCAAAGGGTTATAGCCATTAGCAGATTAAAGATTTTAATCTACAGAGGTACCTTTGATGTTCAGAGACACCTTTTGGCTTTCTGAATCTTGAAATTGCAGAAGGAAAGAAAATTAAGGGATCTTTCTGGTTTGATGCCATGATTTCAAGATCTGTACCTGAGCACTGACTTTTCCCTTGTTAGAGAAACACAAGGAACTCACTACCCACATTTGAGTAGCGGGAGCAGAGTAATTCATGGCTCCTATGCTGTTTTATGTGATGTGGGAGCTCATGTTGCACTGATCAGTGCTAATGGAACTGGGGCTTGCAATTCAGTACCCCTGTTGTTAAAAGATTGTCTGAGAGTGCAGATCTTGCCCTTTCGGTATGTTTTGCTTATTTTTGCCCCCATGTATCAGTAAATAAGCCAAGTCCCTGAGGACTCATTTGAGCCAGCTTGGCCTTCAGACAGATTGTGTCAGTTAGCCTTTTTAATGGTAGCAGAAAACGGTTAAAGTCCTTTCAACGTGCCTGGTCTAGAGTTTTTCCTGGGGACATCCTGTCTAGTCTGGATTTCTGAGATTTTAACCACCATCAGTAGACCACAAAGTTTCCCCACTGGCACCATAGCAAGGCTTTCCTGCCAGCCAAACCTGCTTGAACCCTGAAAGACCACTACACCCTTTACCAGAGTCCCTCAAATGTAGGCATTTTTCTTCAGTCCTTTCCAAAGTTCCTCCTTGATTTTCATTATTCATTGAGTGCTGCCTAACTAACTTTACTAACATTGTAAATACATCTGTTCTCTGAGGGCTTAAAGTCTAAACTGGACAAAAAAGAATGAAAAAAAAAATCCCTTGAAATATGAAATACCTGGTGAACTCTCTTGAGTTGCAGTTCAGGCTTTCAGATTTTGTCCTCAATTTTGGTCCTGCTGTCTAGTTACAGTCCTTAGCTAGGATGTTCTTCTTGCCAGATATTCAGGGAAGAGGTACAGATATGTTGCATATGATGCTCTCCCAGCTTCAAGAGCTCATTCAGCTGGATATGTGGGGAAATAGCCAGCTGCAGTCAATCTCCTCATAAATGATTGTATTGGATTTAAATACTTCTCAACATTTCTGGCATGCAAACTCGTGGGCCAAGCGGAGTCAGTAACCCAGCACCAGAGTGCACCTGCTTCTATTTAGATGCTCCTCCATCACATATGTGCTGTATAATCTTCCTTAGAGGCTCCTTACTGTCTTTAACAGCAAAAAATGCCCAGCAAATTCTCATACCTCTGCCTACTTCCTCATGCTCTCCTCTGACTAAGAGACTGGGACTTGGTGCTGCAGAACACAGCCATTGACCATAGTTTTAGATTTAACAAGTGAAATGATTTGAGTATTATGAAGGTGATGTAATATTGTCTCTGTGTATAACAAACATGTAAAAAAACTCTCTGCTGTTGCTCTCCTGCATCTTCAAGACGGAGAAATGCACTGGGAAAAGCTTTGGTGCTTTAAGGGTACCTGGAAGACAGACCATCATTTCAAAGGAGGAAGTGCAGCTCATCAGTGATGTGGCCAACTGCATTTCCACTGCTTAAATAGTGGTTGGAAATGCCAGTGGCTGAGCAGTATTGCCTGAGAAGATGCTCTGCCTGCCAGCTTCAAAGCCATTTCCTTGATGTGGCCACCGACAATCTCAGTAACATGCTTATTAGTGAGAATTAAGAACTGAAGCTACTGCTTCTTTAGAAAGGAGGAGAGGAGGCTTCTGGAATGTAATAAATAAATCAGAAGCACTTTGACATCTTCAAAGGGTTTTGTTTTAAATACTGGCTTTTCTCCTGGGGACCCTCTCAGTCCCAGTCTTTCTTCTTTGAGATAATTAATTCAAGCTGCTCTACATGTTTGATTTTGCCACAGTGAACAGAACTGGTCTGAGTGGCAGGGAAGTCTTGCAAGATCTTATGTTCTTCTAGGTCAGCCTCCCACACAGCTCCCTGGAGTCTTTTATATGAGACAGAGGAGTGTTTCCCCAGCAATGTGTTTAGACAACTGATGCTGCAGAGTTGGTCTGTAGATTGCATTTGTCCCTGTGTTCAAAAGGGTCCTAATAGATGACTGGTATTTTGGCTATACTGAACTGACAATCCTTCTCATATGGCACAGTATGCCAGATACAGACTGTACAGGGTTAGTAGACCTACATAAAGTTGAGAGAAATTACCAAATGCCTTTCTTTAGCATTGTCTGAATGCTCTGGGGTTTTTTCCATCAAAGTGGAGTATGCTCTTCTGTTTTACAGTCTAAGCTGTCATTGATAGATGAGTTTAATTTTCCCCACTTCAGAGACTGACCTTTTAATCCTTATGTAGTGGCAGTGACCAGAACCTTGGTTTTGTTTTCATTTTTATGAAAGCTTTTGCCCTAACTTACTTCTGAAATCCACAGTTTTTTTCCTGAAAGGAGTTGCACTTTGCTATCACTTATATTTCATCTTTATGGCCTGTGGCTGATATTTTCCATATTCAAGAAGTATGCTTCAAAATAGGGATGCATGCAGCTGGGACTTAGCAGGGAGAAAGAGGACATTGTCACTTGTTCAAGAAGTCTTCAGTTGCCATGAAATTTGGCCTGATAGTCAAATGATAGACCTGATATGAAAAGAGACTGATTCATTTATCAGGAAGGGAGGATAAGACATTCACAGTGTGCAATTAGAAAGCTGATTGGTGCTGTTGATGCAATGTTATTTCCTCTGTAGTCAAGTAGAGTTTGTTTGACCACAGACTGCGAATTAGCAACTGTAGTTATCTTTATGAATCTGAAAAATATCTCAGTTTGATGAATTCTGGTATACAGAGAAATAGCATGACTCATTCTGCTTACACCAGTTTACTACTTGTGTAACTGTCCTGTCTGTAGTCACAGTTAGTCAGGAGTTGGACTTCGATGGTCCTCGTGGGCCCCTTCCAAGTCAGGATATTCTGTGATTCTATATAGTCATATGAACCAGCCTTGCAGTTTTTATGCCAGCATTTGTTCCATCACGCTTTGAATGCTTGACATCCATGTCACACTGCTCTGTTCACACTGTTGCTGAAGTGTGTGATAGCACTGACATTCAGGATCTTCTCCTTCAGGTTCTTAAGCTGGCTTCATTTGGTATTAGGGCATCCACGTCCATGCAGCAGTGGGTGTTCCTATTCCTCTCTCCTAACTTCTTATACTGGGCCACTGGCAGTCCTCAGTTGTGCACAGTTCCATGGCTGCACTTTCTCTAGAGCTGGGGCTCCTGGCTACAGACTTAAGTTCTTTTGTAGATGCTAAACTGTTTCTCTCATCTTGTCATAGGATTGTGCTGATGGATGATGCAATGGATTGCCTGATGTCTTTTTCTGATTTCCTCTTTGCTTTCCAGATCCAGTTCTACTACTCAGGTAAATGCTGGGAAGCTGCTGACCACCACTAGTATAGCATTGCAACTTTACAGCTTCCCAATCCTTGCACTTTTTTGAAACTTGAAAGGGTATGTTTTTTCACAGAAAATATATAGATAATAGAATCTACTGATGAAAGGCATCACTGATGTCAAGAGATTAGCAGGCTTCATGAGTAGGTTCCAAATTTTTGTGAATAACAAGATACCTGCAACTGTTATGTCTTAGGCATGTATTTGTCTTAGTCTTGAGACATAAATTTCCAGCTTTATCAAGGCTATGTTAACACCTAACAATTAACTTTTACTAGGAATATTTTTTTTCCTTTCCTTAAGGAAATTAATCAACTGTGCTGGAGACAGGATAGGAAAAACCCATCAGCTGGTGCCTTGAAAGGAAAAGGAACAGGACAAATTGATACAATTCTTCCCCCCAATACTTGCCCAACTATGAGTTGGTTTCAGCTCAGATAGTTTCTGAACTGGATAGTTTCCATGGGTTTAGAAACCCCCAGAGGACTCCACTACCGAGAACTTCTCCAGCCTCCCCTTGAAATCACATAAATTTGCAACCTCCACAGTACCTTTTAGCAAAGAGTTTCACAGGCTTAGCACCTGTCCCATGAAGAACCACCTTTCTTGTTTAACTTGAAAGCCCCTAGTTGGAAAGGAAAATGAACAGATAATGCATGTGAACATTCTTCGTATTGTTGGTCATTTGTTATATTCTACCCCTCTCTCACCAGCTGGAGTTTTAACTAGATGGGATACTACTAAGATTTTTTATCAGAAAAAGTACAAATCAAATAATTGTTTGTGTGTGTGTGTATATTTTACAAATGCTCACCCACACATATACATCTGTAAAAATCCCCAGGTATTTTTAAACTCAAGTCCAGAAGAAAAGGTGGAGAAACTTGGATGAGCATTTCCTTTATCAAAGTTAGATATGCTCCCAAGCACTGGGGACTGCTGGTTTGCCACTTACTCATCTCCTGGCATACTGCACCTTCTAACATAAAGCTCATGGATTTCTGTGTGCTCCCACTGAAACAGCTCCCTCTGATGGATGTAGCTCACAATTGGCCTCGACGAGGCAAAACGGGCCAGGTCTGTGTACTGGGAGACACTGGCTACAAGCTGTGGTGAGCATAGCGTGTGAAAACTTGGGTGGCCTGCTGATCTGATCTAACCTGTCAGTTCCCATCTTTCTAGCAGTTAAGACTCAGCTGCTATTCCTAATGCAAAAATCTCTTTTTCTCAGTACTTCTCTGTATATATTTCCCCAGTGCATATCACAACTCTATCCATGACAATTCATTGTAGACAAACAGTTGAAAAAGATGATTTTAGGTTGGGCAGAACCAGGCTTGTTGGGCAGAACCATTAGCCAAGGACAGAAAATGTGTTTGGAAAGTTTTTCTCTGATATAACAAATATTTCCACTGAGCTGGAGGACCTCAGCAACAGCCTCAGGGCCTGCTGACATCCTGACTTTCCTCTCCACCCACCTCACACACAGAATTACATTTCATTCCCTTGAGACTTAAATGCCACTTTAGTCCTCAAGAGCTTGTTCTTGTGTACACACACTCAAAGATCCCATCCCTGTCCTGTTCACTCAGGCATGGTGCACGCACACAGCCTGTCATACGCTCTCCCACCAACCCACACACATGCAAACCACTCCAAATGGAATCTAGATTTGTAAACTGCTGACCACATCCATAAACAAACTTGTTTAAAATTAGACTCCTGCAGTAAACAGTGGGTAGTATGAGGAGCCTGGGGAGAGGCTTTCTGCCAACTCCAGCCCTGACCTGCCCTGGCCCTCCCTCTAGATCTTGTATTGTATTTACTTTGGAGCAGCACAGAGGCAAGCTGGGATACAGCCTGGAACCCTAACTAACTTGCTCCCTTTCCTCTTGTTGCAGTTCATTATAGTTTGCTCCCAACTTGCAAGAGTTCTTAAATGATGAGTGGCAAGAAGGAAAACATTTTAGTCTTTGCAAACTAGTTTTGTGTTTGACATTAGCTTTCACGCTCCATTGTTTTATCCATGTGCTAGCTAACCTTTGTACCCTTCAGAAGAATCTTTTTCAACGGAGTGGTCTCTCATAATCATCCTGACAGAAAGAAGCCAGGAGCTTCTATGGAAATGGCTGTTTGGGCCTGCCTAATATCTGATCTGAATAAGCAGGGTGCTGTAGAGTTGTGCTTATTTCCTGTTGGTGCTATGTACAACACAGAATGACAGTTTAATCCAAACTCTGGTAGGTCAGGAGGATGCTGGTTATAGCCCTGAGTTTTAAGTCACTTTCTGTTCTTTCAGAGTTCCTGGAAAGTGTGGCTGGCATTTATCAGGATCTACTGGCTGGTAAGAATCCAAATACTGTGATTGTGCCAACATCATCTTCTGGGCAACATCGGCAGCGCCAACCCCCAAATGATTGCAACCCACTCGAAGGGGTAGAGGCATCTCTCTTCTACCAGTGCCTGGAGTCCTTGTGTGACAGATCAAAATACAGGTATGAATGAAGTCTAAAACACAAATTTGAAGTCTCTGTCTCTGGAAACCCTTTGTAAGGATGGAGCTGTGAAGAAATACAGGACTTTGAACAAGCTGTAACTCCCACATGGATCTCATTGGAGAAGTACGAAGGGAAACGTCATAGCTGAACAGCTTAAACCAAATGAAACATGGGATTTGAGCTGATTCTTGAAGTAATGGATTGATTTGGGTCTCTGCTCTCCTTCTCACTTCTGCATTGGCACTTTCATCAAGGAGAGATCCATTATGAGTTAGCTAGAGGAGATAAACAAGTGCAGTTGTGTTCTTGGGAGTTGAAGCCTAAGAAAGGCCCACTGGGATGGATGGAGTATGAAGCCTTAGTACCTAGGCAAGTTCACACTGCCAGTCTGTACCTGAGCCTGTGATGGAGTTGGTCTCCAGCTACAGTTCCCAGGCACAAGACTAGCCTTAGTTCAGCAGAGGATGGAGCAATACTGGACCTTATTGTATGGCTTTGACAAACTCTTCCTTCATAGTTTCTTGCAGGTAGCAAGCACACACCCTCCTAGAAGGTCATGGCATAGATCCACAAAATGACTCAGGACACAAGTTCCATCTGATTTCTGCTTAATGTGCACATTAAGCATACACAAAATTACTCCTGAACTGCTGTCCAGTGCTATAGATATCTAAGCATGGAGTTGACAGGTTGTTTTGTTCTTTTAAACAGCAAAAGCTCTACATTCCCTGTATGTCCTGAGAACTTCAGATGGGAAGGGTACTGTGAGCCTATCTGGCAAGTCAGGCTTTGCACAGCACTTTGAGGGGAGCCATTCCCAGCCTTTCATCCAGTAACTCAATACTCGGCCAGGCTTTGGTAACCACCTTTGCCTAAGGGATCACCAGCCCAGACCCACATCTCCCAGGGTGACACTACACCATTGACTGTTCAACACTTACTCTTTATGAGGCAGTGTGATTTTGCATGAAATCCTTTAAGCAGTATTGGGCAACAGCAAGAATCACTATGAAGATATTGCTTATAAGTCAGGACCAGGGGTTAAGGTGAGTGTAGGTGAAGGGAACATGTCAATTTAGTCCTCACCTAAATATTGTTTTCTGACATATTTAGGCTGTCATTGCAGAGGTTTTCCTGCCCCTTGGATGACTATCACTGATAAAAGGATGATGATAGCATCCCTAAAGCATTCAAAAAATGTTTAGATGTGGCAGTTAGGGACATGGTTTAGTGGTGAACATGGTGGTGCTGGGTTAACTGTTCGACTCAGTGATCTTAGAAGTCTTTTCCAACCTTAACGCTTCTATGATTCTGAGAAGGTTTATTGACTTCTAAAAGAAAGTATTCCCCAGATGATTTTTGAAAGAACATGCTAAGAGTTGGGATATGTGTGCCTCTGAGTGAATCTAGGCTTTCTCCCTGTCCTTGGAATGGAGACAGGTAAGACTGCTCCTAGGGATGTACCCCAGCTCAAAGATCTTGCTTAGCAAACAGGGAGCATATGCAATGCTCAATAAGCAAGCTGGTGCCTATGTGTTTTAAACTGAGTCAAGGTAACTTGACAGTGTTAGAACAGGTAAAAGGGTTTATTTCTCCAGTTTGAGCTGAGTCTTAGAAAAAAAAGGATTATAATTTAAAAGACAAGATGACCTCTTTGTCTCCCTTTTCCTAGCTGTCCACCTTCTGCTCTTCTGAAGGAAATGTTGAGTAATGCACAGAGAATGACCTTCTATGGATTCCTTGTGGCACTTGCAAAGGATCAGGGGATCAATCGAGCCCTAGGTAAGACTCCTGTGAGTGATTCAGCTCTAGATTTTCAATCATTCTGCATTTCTGTGGAATTTCCTCTGTAATTATGCCCCACATTTTACACTGTCAGGAAGAGAGCAAGGGAAAGTTTTTCATCATTTTGTTGATGGATTAACTTTAAAAACCTAACACTGTGCCTTACTGTCTACTTGAAGCTATGGAGCTTCTTCAAGGATAAAATTAGATATGAAATGTTGCCCTAAAATAGTACTGTTTTGCCTCTTGAATAACTGATAATTGTAGCAGAACTGTTGTTTTAACATATTTGGCTGTAAAAGTTGGGCAGAGTTAGTCAGGAGACAAGTAAGGTGTCTGGCTGGTGTTGACCATACTGAAGTCCCATCCTATGTTTTAGCCCTTTGTGCTTCCACAGATTTTAAATGGCTGCTCTTCTCTACAAGAAAAGGAGAGAAGACTTCCTTGGCTCAAAGGCTTATAGCCCAGTCTTTCCCAGCTCATCCCCATCTTCCCTCAAGGCAGTGTGATCTTGCCAGTAGCAATCCTGCTGAAAATCTGGTGGTATGATAAAACACAAACTGCAAAAGAAATCTGTACTAGACTGTTGTGGGAACCACAGGGATTACCAAGCAGCATCTCACTGCTTGTTTTCATGTTGTGCTAGTTCAGAGCAAGGAAGCAGTGCAAAGCCCCCTTCGCATTGGCAAAGGGGAGCATGTAATCCATATGCAATTCAGACTCACAGTTCCATATGTCCCCCATATGCCTTGCTTACTTCTTCCTCTTGCAAAGGGGAACAGAAATGGCTTTTTGTGTTTGACAAGGCTGTATCTACGAGGTACATTTAAATGGGAGAGTGGGGGTGAGGGGCTGAGTGTGTTCCCAAACACTCATCTTCAGTCATATGCACTCAGCACATCATCTGGCCATCAAGAGTAGGCTCTCTGTCTTTGAGTAGGTATCCTCTTCCTCTACTTCTAGGCCTGAGTATGTGCCAGTCCCTATATTACAAAGACAAAACTCAATGGAAAGGTGTACTTTGCCTGAGGGCTGCTTCTTTTGCACAGGTGTGTGTCATAGTATGGTAAAAGTGTGCCCTCCCTGGCTGAGCCCCCTCTTACAGCAAACTATTTGAGCTGCTAATGGTCCTCTGGGGCAGAACTGCTTACACAGCAACATGGAGATTATATATCAAAAGTGGATGAATACAGCCCGTCTGCAATCCCGTCTGCAAACAAGCTTAGGAAGCAGTGTATTCACTGGGAGGAAGGTGATGCCTGGATGGCAGAAAGCAAAATCTTTCTTTTCCTTTGCCCTATGAAATCCATTTCTAGTTGAGCACAAAGAAAACAGATGAAAAGAAAAAAAATCCTGCCCACTGCCTCCATTGTGCCATCTACAAAGTGTGTGGGTTTTCGTTTCCATTAATGTGGGCCCATCCCCTGGCCCTCTGCCAGCCTCCTGCTGAGGCCTCTCTCAGAGGAGGGGCAGCAGCCACAAGTCTGACAGGTGCTAGTGTTTTGGCAAGGAAAGGAGGATTCTTTTCCTGGTGTCTTTTAATCTCTCCTGAAGGGTGATTTCAATAGTCTTTGGTCTGTAGGGGATCACAAGCTCCCCAAAGCCCTTCAGCAAGAGCAGTTTCAGGCAGAGGAGGTTTCGGTCAGGTTGCCTGCCTTCTCTTTGGTCTCACAAAGCCAGTAGCCCCTCTTGAGGAAGAGGGCTAGGGATTAAAACAGCTTGTTCAGGCTGGGGCAGTGCTGATGAGTTTGCCAGGCAGATTGGAATCTGCAGTGTAACTCCAATGTCAATGTTGATTTGTGAATTTTCTAAGTGCTATTTACCGACTCTCCCAAGTAATTCTTGTGCCCTAGAGACCTCACTGTGCATTCTGCAAATACAGAAACAAGTTAAGCTTTAGTTGCTTATTCTTTTAATTGAGGCCATGAAAGAAAGGAGGCTGGGACACTAGCCTAGACCTCCTGACACTGTGTTGCGGTGCCAGGCTTTCCTGTTCTTTTGCAGACAAGAACCAGAGAAAATGGGGGAGTCAGTTCTGGTCTAAACTGATTCTAGTTTTCACGCACTCATTGCTCCTTCAAGGGAAAGGTGCCAGGGCCAGAAAACAGATTTGTGTCCTCACAGGGAGTACAAAGCCCCTTCCCAAAGGTATTGAGTGTAGCACCCAGGTCTCCTGAAAAACAAGAGCATTCTTCACTGCACTGTTGGTACAGATTACCAAATGGGTTTTCTTGGTCCTGGTGTGCAGTGGCACTGTCCAGGCTCTGGTAGGCAATTTTTATCATTTCTGTGCTGGCTGATCATACCCTACATGACCCCTACACAAGGTGGAGTTTGATAAAGAATTAGGAAGGAGGGCTTTCCTAAGAGCCCCATCTTCCTTTCTGGGCTCTTCTGAGGTGCCAGTGTCCTTTCAGAGAAGGGTAAGGATGATCAACCAGCTGTTCTAGTCCTGAACTATACCACATCCTTCATCTTGAATAGGGTTCCTAATGTGAAAAGGAGCATGCTGATCTTATGCTGACAGGGGGTACCCAAATACTGGCCCAGCCATTCATGCTCACACCCAGACAAGCAATGCTAGAGCACAGTTCATCCACACTTAACTCCTGTAGACTTAATGTGCACCAGAGTCAGGCCTGACTTTCCTGAATTGCAAGGAAAGCAATAGCTTTACATTGGTGGAGTGTTTTGATCCCCAACCTCAGTGCACCACAAGAAAGGCAGGTGGCGCAGAAGTATACATCTCCCTGGGTGGTATAGGGCATGTTTCAGGCTGTGGCACCGACACCACCACATCTATTGCTCTGATAGGATCTGGGACTGGTGACTATATAGGGCAATGAGCAAAGGCCTAAAGTTGACAGACTGCCATCTCCCTGACAGTCAGTAGTCATTAGTTTTGTATAATGAACAAAAGCTGCCAATACTTAGGGCTGTGAGAAGTGAGACTACTGACGCTGCCCCCCATTTAGTCTGAGCTCAGCTACAGCTTGTGTGAAAGGCACAGAAAATGAATCATCATTCTTTATCTGTCTGTGATCCTCAATATTGTTTCCATTTCTCTAATAGGTGTAAGGAAAAGTCTTCTCTGTCTTGCAGGCCAGAGCTGGGATACTGCTATGACTTTAACACTTTTCATTAAGAATGAATACCCTAAATCTGTTCTGATACTTTCTTTCATCGATTTTCTTTCCCCAGGGGCTTTACCAGATAAAGGAGACTTGTTTCTGGACCCTGCCATGGACCAGGAACTTGAGAAATTGTAAGTGGAATTGCCTAAACTAAGAGGTAAAGCAACGGATTAAAGGTAGCATGCTGTGGAAGAGTGTAATAAAGTACTGTCCCTGTTCCTCTGCTTTACTATAAAACAATAGAGGAGCTAAAAAAGTGGCCTGAGCAGGGAGAGTTTCTTTTTTTGGGGTGCTTTGGTGCACCTAACAAAATCCTTAGAAGAGCCTTCAGAAACAGAGGGGACCAGTGGGACCTAGAGGAAGCAGCAGTCTCTAATGAACAGGGAAATTTTGTTTGGATGGTGAAAACTAGGAGTGTTGGAGGACACAGGCTCATATCAGAAGATATATTTCAACAGTAAAAGATTCACACAGTATGTCTGGGATGTACCAGTGCAAGGTGTTCCCCCTCTGTGATGTGAACATCTTTCCATCCCTAGTGTAAGTCTGCCTCCTAGGTTCACTCCTAAAGTGCTATGGTAAAGGTTGGAGATGACAAGTCAGGTTGCCTAGCATTTGTCTTTTCTCTTTCAGGGTAGCTCAGATTTCAGGGCTTTCCATGTCTGGTCCTGCCAGCTCCAGCGGGGACACAGCTAATGTGCCTGTCCGTAACTTACCCAGGATTAACTCACCCTGGAAACCTCTACACCATCGGCGAAAAATGGATGCTGAGAGTGAAGGCTCCAATGAAGAGACTGACTCCTCTGAAAACTGAAGGTTGTAAGGGTGGGCACCATTCCCATCTTGGGTTTCTCCAGAACCCACTGGAGGAACAGTACCTCTTCCCAGAGCACCTGCTCTGATGGAGGGTTCTGTCTACATCACCAGTGTATGCGTGTGGTTGTGCTAGTCCCCAGTATCAGGCTCACCCATCTTTTCCCAGGAAGAGCTTGCATTTTTCCTAGCTCCAAATTTGTGCAAGAATAGCTCCTCTGCAGAAGCCATTTACAGCTGCAGAATCATGCTTCCCCCTGCTGGCAGGCAAGACCAGCCAGCAGATGTCAGCTCTGCTGTCACTTGGAAACAGCCGGGTATGCTCTCACCGGGCTCTCCCTCACGGTTCAGCAGGTACTGAAGCAGTGGGAGCACCAGCACAGACCGCTTGCCAGTGTTTTGGTGTGTAGCTCTGTTCAGATTTGGCCCGGACAAGAGCGGTTAAATCGCCAGCAGCAGCTCTGCACTTGTGTTCCATTGTAATTATTCCCACTAAAGCTGCAGCTGCATATGACCAAAAGCAGAGAAATTCCTGAAGTTCCTAGAAAAGGGCGGCTTAGATATTGCCAACTGTGTCTGCTCTGTGCTTTCTCCTCCATGTGTCCAAGACTGGCCAAAGCAAATACAGCAAATAAGCTAGATTGCAGTAAGTACTGCATGGTTCTCTCAGGCTCTGCTGCTGTGCCGAGTTCCATTCTGTGATGTCTCCCACTGCCTCCGATGGCATATCAAGGTCATTTGGAATGGTGAGTTTCAGAGAGACTGGAGGAGAGGGAGTCTTTAAATTCCTTGGCCACAGGTGGTGTGGCTTGCAAGTATATAGAGCATCTGCTGGGGCTGGGTGGGCAGAAGCACTAAGGGAGAAGGAAGCGGTTCTCAAATGAGATCCGATCGGGGTTTTCTGTAGATAGTGGCAGTGTTGTAGCAGCATCATGTAGCCCTTACAACTACAAAAATAAGTAGCATAGCATTGCATTAATGGTAACGAGCTCTGCAGTTTGACTTCCACAGATCCAAACACTTTGTCTAGCCCAGCTCCTGTGCCCCATCTTGCACAGACTAGTTATTTCCTGGGGAACTTCAGTTTCTCATGTGTCTTTGGGAGCCTCCTTGCTCCTCCTGGTCATAAAGTGCTGCTACATGGGCCACCAGGAGCTGGTAACCCAAAGCTTGTACCAGCCCTCTGCTGTGGATTCAACACATGCTAGAGCTGTTTTAAGACGAATCCCATACCTACTGCTCAGTCTTTACCACAGCTGCACCTGTGGAGGTAGTGGGAGGGATTATTTATTTATTATAAGTTATATTATTTATGATCTGTGTGTTCTCTCCCCGCTCGGTGAGTGGCTGTGACAGCCCGGCAATAAAGCACGCTTTGTCAGGGCTCTGCTGCATCTGGGTCTTCTGGGCTGCCCTGGCCCCTCCTCTGGGTGCTGCCTGGGGCAGGGCCTGGGGGAAGCATCACTCTGAGCACTGCGGAAGCACTTGCTGCCATGCAGGTGCCCACGAACTCCCGCCCTCACCCTGTGACAACACTGTCACTCCTCGGAGCTCCGGCCCCTTCCCGGACACTGTGATGGTAGAGCTGCGCCGGGACACAGGTGGCAAAGCCACGGGAAGACCCAACCCTTACCCCCTGCCCCATCGCAGTGGCCCTGGGTGGCAAAACATCAGTGTAGAGCAGCTGAGTAACGCTTCCTCGTCCCAGCAGCTACTACAGCCCCTCAATGAGCAGGAGAGGTGAAGCCCATGCAAGCCTCTTCCCAGTCCCACAGAAAAGGCTTCAGAACAGCCTCAGCCTCTCTTCTTAGTATTACTAAGTGTGTAACTAGCCCTTTCCCACCCTTTTTCTTACTACCTAGTCCTCAACACCATAGTCCAAGGAAGAGAAAAAATGCTCTTGTTAAAACCAGAGTCAGAAGCAGAGACCAAGTTGAACAGGACTAAAATGACAGTCCTCACTCACTGCTGCATCTCATGGTGATGTCAGAGGCTCAGTACTTTGACCTCCATCCAAACCAGGGCAACAAAATAACCAGGGATCCAGTAAATATCTTTACTTCTTTACCTGGGCCTTTCTTGCTGATGATGTAGTTAGAAGCTAAAAATATAATCCTTGCTTTGAGTTTTTTTTCTCCTGCATCTATATATGCTGGTTTAGAAGACAGTAAAAAGGACCATATCATGGCAAAAGTCAGACCCTGCAAATACAGAGGACTCCACAGCACCATGGATTGGGAGCTCTGAGCAGAACAAAAAAGTCATGTCACATGCTGTTCAGAAAAATAGCATTCCCCTTTCCTCTGTCACTAGGTGAGTTAAGGTATGGGCCAAGGACAGGAGCACTGATGAGGGCAGTCCAGGAGTTCCTGTCATATCTTTTACAACAGTGAGGTTAACCCTGTAATAAGGCCTGTCTCTACTGGCTAGTAGATAGCAGTGGGTATGAGGGCACATTGAATTTTAATAGAGTGGAATCCAGAGATATTCAGAAAGCATCCTGGGAACAGCCATGTCCTGACTCCCTCCGGTTACCTTCTCCCCTCCCCACCCAACCCAGATAATAAGACAGTCCTGCAGAGTTTACTCCAGACAAAGGTGGCATCAGTGCCTCTTGCTTGCTTCCCTTTGAGTTGCAGCCCCTGGGTCATCAATATGAGCCATAACGATCCTGAGGAGGAAACAACAAGACATCATGCTACAACACCTTCATGCAAAATTCAGAGACCAATAACAAGAAATTGGGGTGTTTGGTATTTGAATGCAGTGTGTGGTTACCTAGACAGGACACCATGCAAAGGCAGAAGGTAAAATGACCTTAACTTTTTAAGTTCTGCCTGGAATTCGTGGAAAAGGCATATCTGACATAACAAGGCGTCCTGTACAGCAGGAGAGTAAGATGGCCAAGTAGAGTTCACTGGCCACCTGGCATTGCTCAGCTATTGTACCGTAGTCATTAGCTATAAAAGACCAGTCTCTACCTGGAACTTTTCCCATAATTTAAGAAGACAACAATAATTCCAGTAGAAGCCAGATTATTGTGGAAGTCCCTGACCATGACAATAGCCTGTCTGAAGGTGCCATAGTGTAACCTCACCTGGAGGGAGTTCATCACCCCATTGGCTAGGACAGCCATCTTGCCAGCAACTGATTTCACTCCTTGCTTGAACTGTGCAATGTCAGCTGCAGGCAGGACATTTCCAATAGACACGCCACCTGCAAGAACCAGCAGGAGTTAGCCTGGAGTTCCTCAGCTCCAGAGAGCACCCTGACCCCCTTCCTCAACCCACTGAGTGCTAACAAACCTGAGTGTACATTGTCAGCCTCTCCAAACAAGTCTGCAGAGCTGATGGCGCTGCTGCCTGAGAGCTGCTGCAGTCGGGATCTGGCTTCGTACTGCAGCAGAAAACAAAAGGTTATAAAAGAAGGGAATAAAGTAGGACCTGAGCAAACAGAAGGAGGTAAAGCCAGAGCTGTAGCAGCATAAGCACTGCAGAATGCATCTACCTCAGCATCTGCCTCCCGCCCGAAAAACATATCTGAAGAGATAGCTTTAGCCCCTGCAAACTTCTGCCGAGCTTCATTGGATTCCACAATGGATGGCCTGTTCTCAGTCTCCCGCCTACTGGTGGGTCTAAGGAAACAAGAAAAGACATGTCAGCTTAAGCTCATCAACACAGTAAAGAATCAGACTTGTGTCTCAGACCCCATCTGATCAAAGGAAAGCAAGAAATCCTCAAGTGCTAGCTACCATCTCTCCCAACCTCAGGACAGCCAGCACTTGATGACCATAGAGGCTGTATCAAACTTAGGGATATGATAGGGAAAGAAGTGCCTAAGGCCCTTTCACTCAAGGCCCTTTTTCTTGGGCTTGTCTGTGCAAGTTATCTTTTGTAGCACAAGGCTCCTGCTGTAACACAGCAGCATCTCTCCCACAGCTCCCAGACTTATCTCTTTGTCCCACACACAAGGGGCACAAGGTACACTAGCAGCAGCAAGCATTACCTCTCTGAAACTGGCCGAATACTGGAAACAGTCACCTCAGGTTCCTCCTCTTTGTCCATACCCCATGAAGAGTCTGTTTCCCATCGTGAGCCAAAAGCATCTTCAAATGAGAAGGGACTGTATTTGTACCTATTAGAAATAGGTTAATTGAGGCCAGACATAAAATTCAGGATTAAGCCAAAGACTATACTGAAGCCAAGTCTTACTTGGGGGGTCCAGATGTGAAGCTTCCACCATCTTCAAACAAGTCCAATTGGGAGCGGGAAGACTTTGCTCCCAGCGGCGTCTCCTGCTCGATTACTTGCATCTCAGCCATCACCGAGTGTGAAACAGGACTAGCACAACAAACGGGCAGTCAGGGCTGATGGGCCTGGCAGCATCCGGCCCCTACAACCAATCTGCCTCAAAACTGAATCTGGCCTTCTGGCAGGCAGGACAGGTGCCACAAGCCTGGAAGGAGAGCTTTGGGATTGTCAGCCCCCTTCACCACTTATCTATGCTCCTTCAGAAGTCTTGAGCTACCTTCTTAAAGGAAGGATCCTGCAGGGGGACATCTGTCAAGCAGCAGGGCTCTAGAGCTAGACACTGACAGGCCACACATCTGTGGAAAAGCTCAGATGAGAACTAGAACCTTTGAACAGAGTGCCCATTCCTTCTGCTGCCTGAAGCATTTTTAGATCTAGACCAGCAAATGAACTCTTTAAATCATCTCCTTATCTGTTACAAGAGCAAGCTACTGCCTTCAAGAAACTTTTCCAGAGCAGGGTGCTTCCAAGACACCTGTCTGTCCTATGCCATCCACAGCCAAGTACCTTCTGGACACCAAGCCCATGCCCAGCCTCTCTGCTTGTTCACGCTTCTTCCCTTCAAGATTCTGAAGCTTCTTCTCTTCCTTCTTCCGATCAAGCTGCAGTTCCTGATAAGCCAGACGCATTGAGGTGACTCTGAAGGAAAGAGGTATGGTGGGTACCACCTCATTACCCTCCCTTGCTGCCCATGCTGTGGAGGAGCAAGTGGTAACCCTGACAACCCATCAAAACAGCCATTTCCAGAACAGCTCTGCCAAAATCCTTGCACAAAAGCTACTGCTTGTTTTCCAATCTCACCTCCCCTGAGATTCAACTCTTCTTCTGGCTAACCATGATTTCCTTACTGTAAGCATTGCAGCATCTGTCTTCCCCTCCCCACCACGAGAATGACCCATCGAGTTAACCCTTTCTCTTTTTTAGTCCTGTCCAAAGGTGAACAGAAACACAAAATACTTGCATATCTGCTCCCTAAACTCTTCCAGGGATGATAATTTGAATAAAATATGTCAGTATAACTTGTGCCCTGTTACAAGGGCCATATTGGCTTATAGCTACTGCTCCTCCTATCATGCAGTGTGTTCTGTACTCATATTAGGTGGTCCTACGATGAACAGCATTAACCTCATATTACTTCTGCCTTATGTATGCAAGGTACTCATCCCAAACAGGGCACTTACATAGACTCCTCGGCTTGTTTCCTGGACTCCACTGCCTGCTGCTCCCTCAGCTGCTCTGCCACCTGGGCTTGCCGCTCAATCTCACTGAAGCTCTGGCTGCTTACTTTCTGGGCTCCAAGACCTTTTTTTGCACCCAACTAGAAAAACAAAACAAAAAGTTGTGATTTCTTCACCCTAGAAAGTAGAAGAAAACCTGAATCCTACTTCTTGCTGCACTGATCAGGCCTTCGGTCTCCCTGTGTAGTCACAACATACAGACCCAAAAGAGCTTGCAACACAGTATGGAAGAACACCTAAGAGTTAACCCACCAGTGGCCAGCACTAACAGATCAGCCACATACACTTCAGACTGTAACCAGTAATGATCCAAAACCTAAATTTTTTGTGCATTAATATACAAGCTGTCTAAGCTCTCCCTTCCCCAAACGGATCTCTCACTATGTAGCTTTGTTAAGGGCAGAAAGCAAGGGCCAGGGAAAGGACAGCAGTAATATGAGACATGCCTCTCCAAAAAACAAGAGCTCAGACATACCCCTTTCTTGGCAGCTCCTGGCTTCTTCTTTCCAATGAGGGAGGATTTAAGTTCTGCAAGAGGAGGGAAGCAGCAAATAAGCAGAAGTGAATTAATTTAAAAAGCCAAAATTAGACAGCAACATGAACATCCACCACAGTCCAGCTGCTATTGCATCCAGGGCACACCACGCACTTTACATCAGAAGACTGGGTGCCTTCACCCAGCTAAGTAAGATGCACTTAGAAGCTCCACAATTGCAAGCTGTTGGCCTAAAGAAGCATGTCCATTGCTGAAGAAACTTGTAAGTGAATTAAGAACTGTGAATAGCTCCTCCGAGTGTTATGCAGCAGGTGACCCCATCCAGTAGGGATCAGGGTA